CAAGGCCTGGAAGGAAAGTCTCCATGACATTGCCTTGGAGGAAAGAACAGGTGATCCTTATTCCCATACACATACAATTAGAATACTTCTCTGGAATCAAGTTCCCTTTCTTTTCTCATCATATAGAATATAAATATTTTCTCTTCACAGAAAACTTCTTCAAAATGATAGGCTGCTCTTTTACCAACTCATTTAATAAGTTTAATTAAATGGAAGCTTATGGTAATTAAACTAAAAAGCCTGAGGGCCCTGTTCTGTCAGGACTTACTCCTTGCATAAGACCAATTTCCATATAATTTAGACAACAAAAATAGCGGAACAGTGCCCTCCCATCTAATTTATATGAAATTGGTTTTTTCCAACCTAGATTTCTATGACACTGTAAACACTTATGGTATCTTAGGAGAAGTTAAATAGCTAGTTTACAAATATATGAGAGGAAGAAAAGGTAATGATTTTTAAAGTGAAAGCTTTTAACCCCCTCACTAAATGTCCAAATTAATGCTGTAATATAATAAACTTGCATAAGGATCAAAAGTCTTCTAACAATTTTTCTAACAAGGCAGGTTCTTCCTTCATTACAGATTTGCATGTTTATTACTTCTGGGTGTTTTCTTCCCATTTCTACCATTTGTGATGAATGCATAAAAAACCCATGATCCATAGTTTGGAATTTCTCAGTGTCTCTTTCACAGTGTCCAAAAGGAATGGCATGATACATTATCCCATCTATTCCTGCCCATCATCTATCCACTCATGTGATGAAGTAGCAGTATTCTGGCAGTCCTTTGTGCCCCTGCCCAGGCTTTTTTGATGCAGGCAGGCTGTCCACAAAAGGGAGGGCCCTTTATACCATTTTTCTCCCATGCTCAGGTGCACAGCAGGGCTGATAATTGATTCCTTAGTACTTAGTGACCTTGCTATACAGACAGCTCCACTAGTTCAAACAGCTTGTTTGTGTAAAAGCCAAAGGTCTTGTAGCAGAGGATAGTGGAACTGGAATAATCAGCAAGAACAGGCGACACTAAACACCAAACAGTCCTTGAGCATTGTGATGTTCTGTTACAGACACATAAAATAAGCTTCTTTGTTATTCAGTACACTAAGACCAAGAGCCTAATGACATTTACATCTTGTTGGAATGGTCAGATAATGGACACCTAACTTTGAAATTTTCTTTAAGAACTTATAGACAGGGCAACAGCAACTTAAGGAACATAAATCTGATGATAATTCTCACGTCTGTAGGGCTGTGTTGTTAAAGTATTGACCCTTCCAATACTGCCTAGTTGCTTCACCAGTACTACAGAGCTGCTAGAAGACAAGTGGTTAAAACTGAACCCAGGCATGATGGAAATATTCCTTGTGAGATAAGACATCTGGAAGATCTTGTCTGCTTTATGATTGACCCATCTATTAGTGTGATTTGACCCAAGCAAACTGAGAAGGTTTGCATCCTGAGGGTCATTTTTTTACAGTAATCCGAACATGGAAACCTATTTTTTAGCAGTCATCAAAGCAGTTTAAAAAAAAATCTAAAGTATTCAAAATTTGTGACCTTTACTTCCAGGCACAGACCTCGTCATGGTGATCTATGTCTTTGTGGCCTTAAGGCTGGATTACTGTAATGTGCACCCTGGAAAACCACCTTCAGGGTAGAGATATGGAAGGACACAGAAGCACAAGTGCTCAAGGGCCTTCACCTGTGAGAGATGGCAAACCTGTACTCTGCAAACTTCATTAGTAACTTTGATTCTATGTTTTTACTATGATTATTTAAAGCCTAAAACAACATGGAGCCAGACTCCCTGAAGAACCACCTTACTGCTCTTAGTCCCTCTTTCACTGTTGTGGTCACTGGATTTGAAAAAGATGACCATTAAAATATGATTTCATATTATTATAACATTGTGATATAAAGAAGACAAGTACAAGGGTGTTCTCTGTCATGGGTCAACAGCTCTGGAATGAGCCATCCCTTGTTGATCTGTACAGCATGCCTATGACATGCTTTGGGCTCAGAACTTCTATGTGCCTGCTCAGTTTGTGTTCTTTGTTGTAGGATTGTTTAAAAATATATAACATGGCCCATAGAAGTTAGAACATGAATTCTCAGCCCATGTGCCCAGGAACTCTCGGGTGCCATAAGATCCTTTGAAGGTTGCCACCAGGTGTGAGGAAATAAGCAGGTAAGTGTAGGCACAGGCTGTCGGTGCCTGGCTGTTTCAAAGACAGAAAAAAGTTCCATGAGGTCACCTAGACAGTATCCCTTTCAAAACAAGATTATTCACCAGTACTTGTTTAGTAGTTTCATGTCCAGTCTAACTTAAATAGTATCCAGATAGTAGGACTTCCATAGCTTTTTTTAGGAAACAATTTTTAACCCTCATACATTAACTATTAGGAAAGTTCCTTGATATTTTGAGCTCATTTTGCTTTTTTCCCCCCAGTTTGGCTATATCCTTTTCTACATTTATATTATAGTGAAAGGGACTCCTGAGCTAAAACACCAGATTTTAATGTACTTGTATTTTATTGGGTTCTTATTAGAACTTAGAACTAGATTTCCATGCCCTGTCTTCACAAACACTACACCAAACATACCCTCCCTTTATAAAAGGACCTGAGTATCCTTAAACATGAGGGTTTTTAACATAGAATCCTAGACTGGACAAGTGAAACCACCTCCATTGACAGTCTATAGCCTGGTACTGATGCTTTTGCTTATTTTGCACCTGCTCTTATTAGGCAAG